GAGTAAGAGTCTTGTCTCCATGATGAGATGCCCAGGGTGCAAGGAGCAGCCTGGTCACCAAGCTCCAAGAGTGGAGCTGGTGAGAAACCAGGTGGGAGGAAGTTGAAAAGCAGCGTGTGCTGGCCCGGCCTTGTTCACACTGTACACGGACAGCAAGTACCTCAGGGCCTCAAGACCGGAATAACCAGCAAATTGCTCCAGTTGTGGAGGAGGTGACCTGTGTTCGAGGGCAGGGCTGGGTAGCTGGGGAAAGCCCAGCAGTTGCTCCTAGCCAGGGTGATTAGTTCCTCACTCGGTTGAAAACTCCTCAGAGTTTAAAGAGAAGCTGGATAATTTCATGGAGGTTAGGTCCATACGAGGCTTTTAGCCAGGGGATAAAATGGTGTCCTTGGCCTCTGTTTGTCAGAGGCTGGAGAGGGATGGCAGGAGACAAATCGCTTGATCATTGTCTTCGGTCCACCCCCTCTGGGGCACCTGGTGCTGGCCACTGTCGGCAGACAGGATACTGGGCTAGAAGGACCTTTGGTCTGACCCAGTACGGCCGTTCTTATGAACGCTGAACTTCACAAGCTGTTTGTACACAAGGAAGGGATGCTCTTGGGAGGGCGGGGAACAGGTTGTGGTGGCAGGCACCATCCTGGGTTCTTCCTTCATTGGCTGCCAGCCTCAGCCTTTTCAATACCCCTGAATCTTCAACCCCGCTCAGAGGGAGCTGATCATTACTGGACCCCTTTTGGTTTTACAGGTGACTGGGGAGAAGAGACCATCCACAGACCTGGGCAAGAAACCCAAGAGCCAAAAGAAGAAGAAAAAGAAGGACCCCAATGAGCCGCAGAAGCCTGTGTCCGCATACGCCCTGTTTTTCAGAGACACGCAAGCAGCGATCAAAGGGCAAAACCCAAACGCCACCTTTGGAGACGTTTCAAAAATTGTTGCATCCATGTGGGACAGTTTGGGAGAAGAACAAAAGCAGGTGAGTTTCCGATCTGCTTTGTTACCGTGGCTGAATTGCTTTTGGCTTTTCTGTATCTTGCCAGTTGGAATCTGGCCGAGGGGTCAGAAGCCCAGTTTGGAGCTTAGGCACCCAAAGGTGTATGCACCTAAAATCGAGGCTGTTTTCGGGGGTATTAGCAAGGTGCCCTTTGCCACTAGAAGCAAGGCATTTATGGTTGGCAGGCACAATGTTGAGCTGCTAATTCTGTCCAGTAATTGTGTAACCTGCCCCCTGGATAATTACGGCGGGGCTGAGTTCTCTCCACACACAAATCCCAGGCACAGCTGTATCACAGTGACGTTGCGATGAGTCAGAGAGAGGTTTTTATAGACGTGTCCTGGAATGCTCACCACTTGCGGCAGGGCGTTTGACAGCGTGAGCTTCAGAAGCCCCTAGTCAATACGTTCTGCAGGCTTCTGTCCAGAACGCGTCCTCCAGTGAGCACACGTGGTTCCTGCAGGCAAGATATTTTTTTTCAAGTTTTTCATTCCGGGTGGAACAATGTCCAATGGCAAATGTCCCCGTGCCCGTCCCACCCAGCTACATGTAGGAACTGCAGCTTGCTTGACGTGTCGGAGACCTGCTAGGCGATAGCTGTTCACACCGTGCAGCCACTCGTCACGTCTTGACTCTTGCGGTTCATGAGCCATTAGCCTTGCTGCGGTATTTGTGAGAGTCCCTGAATGGGTGAGGAGGGAGCACGCTGGTCACTGCAGTGATACCAACTAGGGACCGAAGTAGAACGTACCAGTGCTCATGGCGGTTACTCTACTGGGGTGAGGTAGCGTGAAGGGGGCCGCTCGGATTAGATCGAATGGTGTGTTACTGCTGTGACCTTGACAGAGCTGGTGTGGGGTGTGCCCAGCCTCCGTCTGTCTCAGCATGGTCCCTTGGGGCACCCCGGCAGACTGCGGGGAGGGAACTGAGGCTCCTACCATGGGGATGGGCTATGAACCCCAAACAGAACTTTCCTCACATTCCCCCTCTCTGGGGGGGGGGGGGGGTGCAGTCTGGCCTGTACCATTGTAGTGTCTGAGGGAAAGTAGCTTTAGCCTTCGCATCGAAGTGCTTAGCCTCCGTCCTTTGCAAAGAGACACCATCCGCGTCCTTGCAAGGCGGGGAGGGGAGTAAATTCATTTGAATTTACATAAGTAATAAACATTATTTGTGACAACACCAATCCCTTGTATTGTAATGCATGCCAAAGCTGGGAACGTCTCAGGGCTCGCTGTTCCCGCCAGCCGTGGAACACATGCCCCGATGGCAGACAATTGTATCTCTGCCGAGTCACCGTTTGGGGGATTGCCTAGGAATGACAGTAGCTTTTCTCCACATCAGCCACCTCAGATCCAGTGTCGCAGCTTCAAAAAAATACCCAGGAAGCAGTTTGTCAGTGTAACGTCACCCGGGAAACGTCCCTGTGCTGTAGCCGTCACACAGGCCTGCGCCTGTTTCACGAAGGGATTTCTAGGCTCGGTGTACCTATTCTTGTTGATGCTGAATCCGTTACACACGCGCTGTACTTGCCTAGTGCCTGTCTCCAAGGGTGTGTCTAGACTACAAGGCTTTTTGAAAAAAGTGGCCTTTTTTCGAAAAAAATTCCCCTGCGCCTAGACTGCTGCCACATTCTTTCAAAAGTAAATCAAAAGGACGCGGCAATTTTTTTGACCGTGGAAAACCTCGTTTTACAAGGAAGAACGTCTTTTTTTGAAAGTGCTCTTTCGAAAAAAGGCGCTATGTAATGCAAACTGTGCTTTTCGAAAGAGAGCGTCCAGACTGCCGGGGTGCTCTCTTTCGAAAGCGACTTGCTTTTTTTGAAAGTACTGGTTGTAGTCTAGACGCTCTTTTTTGAAAGAGGCTTGCAGTCAGGACGTAGCCCAAGACTCCTGGGCACCATTTTGAGGTGGCAAGTTTGTATTTTTATCAGAGGGAGGGGAGATCTGACTTGCTCTGCAGTTGGTCTTTGAACCCAACCGTCCAGAAATTCTCAGTTCTCCGCCAAAGCGCCGAGCCCTCACTTCATGGGCTTGCTGACAGCTGAGGGCCTGTGCCTCTGTCACTGAGCTCCGAGTGCTCCCATGGCCGGGGTTCCAGGTGGCATCAAACAGAACTCACTGGAACAAAAGCTCTGCTGGGAAACGGCTCCTGTTGCTTTGAGTCAGGCACAAACTGCAGGTCTTTTCAGGCAGACTTCAGCAGAAATGGACTGGCGATTGCAGTGGATGAGAAGCTGGATATGAGTCAACAGGGCGCCCTTGTAGCCAAGAAGGCTAATGGCATATTAGGGTGCATTAGGAGGAGCATTGTCAGCAGATCTAGAGAAGTGATTATTCCTCTTTATTCAGCTCTGGTGAGGACACATGTGGAGTATTGTGTCCAGTTCTGGGCCCCCCACGGAGGGCAACCAAAATGATTAGGGGGCTGGAGCACATGACCTGTGAGGAGAGACTGAGGGATTTGGGTTTGCTTAGTGTGCAGAAGAGAAGAGCGAGGGGGGATTTGATGATAGCCTTCAACTCCCTGAAGGGGGGTTCCAGAGAGGATGGAGAGAGGCTGGTCTCAGTGGTGACAGGTGACAGAGCGAGGAGCAATAGTCTCAATTTGCAGTGGGGGAGGTCTAGGTTGGAGATTAGGAAAAACTATTTCCCTAGGTGGGAGGTAAAGCACTGGGCTGGGTTCCCTAGGGAGGGGGTGGAATCTCCATCCCTAGAGGTTTCTAAGTCCCGGCTTGACCAAGCCCTGGCTGGGTTGATTGAGTTGGGGTTTGTCCTGCTTTGGGCAGGAGGTTGGGCTTGATGACTCCTGAGGTCTCTGCCAGCCCTGGGGTTCTGTGCATGGATGATTTTCACACCAGTGGGGTAAAAGCCATTTTTTAACGCAAAAATTCTCTCGACGTGTGGGGTTTGCCACGCTGCGTGAGGCTTGCGTACTGTCTACTGTCTTCCATGCTACTTGTATTGGTTATTCCTTCATGTCTTTTTGCCTTCTTAAATTCTAAAATCTATCACCCGGATAAATGTAAAAATGCTGATTGAGAGAATACGTCATTTGCCCTGACAGACTGCAAATGAAACCCAGAATCGGTTGAGATCAGTCAATATTCGGATGACTTCTAAATTGTGGCTAAGATGGATTTTTCATGTTCCCTGACCATGCAGGCTAAACCAGACGGTCACTCTAGCTGTGGTGGGTGCTATCAGTATCTGCACTGGCCCTTTTCACACCACACAACCCTCAGTCACTCCCCTCACAGAGTGTTTATTCGTCCCTTCAGATCTTACTGCAGTTACTAGCATTGAGGTCGGCAGTTGCACCATCAAGTCCACACTCGGGTTATTATTTACACAATGAGTTTTAACAGCAAGGGTGCAGTACCAAATTCACAGCCATGAAAAAAGTGCCACAGACCATGCAAGCTGGTCTCCCCTTGCTGTACCCCCTACTATCCAGATTTCATGGGGAAGACCAGAGTTTCTCAACTTGGAGCCTGACCCAAAAGGAAGTCACGAGAATATTTTAGGGGGGTTATGGAATTGCCACCCTTACTTCTGTGCTGCTGCTGGGGGCGGCTGTGCCTTAAGAGCTGGGCTGCCAGCCAGCAGCTGCCATTCTCCGGCTTCCCAGCTCTGAAGGCAGCACCGCTGCCAGCCGCGCAGAAGTTAGAGTTGAAGTACTGCGCGCACGCACACGCACATACAGTGAATCCATCCACAACTCCTTTTGGGTCAGGACCCCTACAATTACTACACTATGAAATTTCAGATTTAAATATTTCAGGTTTAAAAATTCTATAGCTGTGAATTTTATCATGATGGCTTGTGAATTAGAAGATCCTTAGCAACGACACTTCTGATTGTTTGCTGATCCCATCCTCCCCATCCCTCCATCGCTGTGTTTTGCCTTCTGAACACACCATAACTTCCTATTCCTAAACAGCCCCCAAGTCTTCCCCTGTGTAAAAAGTCTGTTCCATTTCCCTGACACTGCTCTTACTGAACACGCTCACCTCTGCTTTCTCTCCGGCAGCCAGACAGCCTGGAGTTGCCCGGATCTCTCGCCTTCTCTGTCCTGCTACCTCTTAGCTCCCTATCAGGTGTCCAGCCCCATCCTCTGGCTGGGATTCATCCTGGCCTTGACGTTCTACTGAAATCCTTGACCCTGCGCTAATCTTGACTCCTGGTCTTTCTAAATTATTACTCTGTGACCATCAGGAGGCCCACAAGGCTGTTTTCCGAGGACACACAGTTGGTCTGTGGAACACAGTGATCTCAGAGGCCAGGAACATAGCAGGATTCCAAGATCAGTTGGACGTTTGTATCCCAAATGAGATCCCCTCCAGATGTGATGCTGAGGAGTTTTTAATGCACTGATTTGTTTTGGATGGATACAAACGGTCCTGCTTTAGGGCATGAGCCAATCACTCATGCAGGCCAGAAAGCCACCACGTGGCAGCAAACTGCCACTGCCTATTGCAGCAGTCCTTGCACCTGCCTCCCTTGCATCTTTTACTGGTCACTTTTGGGACAGGACAGCAAAGGAGAAGGACCCTGCATCTGATCTAGCCTGGTGCTGCCCGTGGTCCCTGTGCCAGTCTTATCCTCACTGTCACCTTCAGTTGGGCTCCACCCATGCAGCTGCTAAACACGTTTGGAATGGCAGACCTCTCCAGGCTGCATTGCACCACCACAGGGCTGACTTCATGCCCAGCTGCTCCCTGGCTTTGGGCCTGGTCTCCGTTGCCCAGGTGTCGCGGGAAAGGAACCGTGACCAGGGTAACCAAGACAAAAACCAAGCCCGTGTGGACCTGATTCCTCTCTGCCCCCCTCTCCAGTGCTGCCCACAGCAGTTGGTGGCTTTTGCATGGTCTGCCCCTCCATTTACAAATCAGCCCTTCCCTCTCATCTCTGAGGCATGGCTCCTCTTCCACTTGTAGTCAGAAATACTCAGCTGAAAACCTACCTTCCCTGGTAGCTTATATGTGACTCTCACAGTAAATTGTCCTCTCATACCACAGGAATTAGGGCCTTCCCGGAATTTCATGGACTAAATTCACCCCTGTCAAGGCTGTTCCCTACTCTGGCATGATGAATGCAGAAGTTGGGGCCCGCAAGCGCACTCCAAAACCTTGCCTCTACAGGCTCTGGTACCAAAACTTCCCCCCACAAAATCCTAATACCCAGATTTTGGGGGACCTGCTGCCACCACCCAAGAATTCCAAGAAAATCAGGGAAGAGATCACTTGGGAAATCCCCCCCAAAGTAAAGCTCTCCCCCTCCCCAACCTCTGTTTTGCTTGAAGTTGGGAAAAACAGAGAATCCACAGATAATGGACTCTGCCCTTGTAACTAGGCACCAAGTCCTAAGGACACAATAATCAACCAACACCACTTAATTAGAAAAAAAAAACCCAATCTTTTATTACCAAAACAAAACTACAGTTGCAAGCATAGTAAATTGGCTAGATGGAAAGAGCCACCATTTGATTTAGATACTCGGGGGAAAAGCCCTGGGCTGCAAGGCTTAGCTACAAAAAAGAAAAAAAAAAACCCAATGAGCCAGCTCAGACATGATTTCCAAATCCCCAAACAAGGAAAACAATAAACCCTGAGGGTATGTCTACACTACAGCACTAATTCGAACTAACTTAATTTGAATTAGTTAATTCGAACTAAGCTAATTCGAACTAGTGCATCTAGATCTAAAAACTAGTTCGAATTAGCATTTTGAACACACGTGACAGCAGGTGGCTGGCTCAAGCTGTGCCAGGTGCAGGGTCTGGTGGCTGGGTGCTGGCAGGCTTGCACCTGGCACAGGCACCGTAGCCAGCCCGTGCCCCTTTAAGGGCTCCGGGGCCGGGAGGGGGGCAGAAGAGTTTCCCTGGTGGTGCCCAGAGTGGCCACCAGGGAAAGCTGGGGAGGGCTAGCCTCCCACTAGTTCGAATTAAGGGGCTACAGACCCCTTAATTCAAACTACTTAATTCGAACTAGGCTTAGTCCTCATGGAATGAGGTTTACATAGTTCGAATTAAGCGCTCAGCTAGTTGGAATTAAGTTCGAACTAGCAGTTTGTATGTGTAGCGCCTAGCAAAGTTAATTCCAACTAACGTCTGTTAGTTCGAATTAACTTTGTAGTGTAGACAGACCCTGACGGACTATCGGAACTTTTCCCTACTTACACCTTGTAAGAAGTCCGTTCTTAGAGAGAGAAGCATCTCCCTCAGTCCCTGGGAGAAACTGCTCTGCCCTCAAAACAAAGGGGAGAGAAAACCCCCTCTCTTTCCGTTTGAATTTCCTGCCTGTGTTGTTGGCTGATACCCTGGCTAAGTACGTGAGTTAACCCCTTAGTCCCTGGCGCTGGTCAGCACTCCTGACTATGATGCCCCCATTAGCTCCATGGAGTCACAGGGACCGACTCTGCCTTCCCAGGCTACGGAGCAGCTGCACAAAGGCCCTTGTGACTCAACAGCTGGCGTAGTCCCTTGGGGCCTCCCTTCTGCAGCGTCCAGTTACAGGAGGATCCATGCAGGCCACCCATATCCCGCTGCCAGCCCGGTGTGCGGCCATGACAGGTTCCGTGCCCCATTGTCCCTCCTCCCCCCTTGCACAGCAGAGCTGTGCTGCCAAGGGGCCCTCTTCAGAGCAGGGATTGGCTGTGGCCCCAGGCCCCCTCCCGTGTACAGAACCCACCTACACCGAGCTCTAGGTGCACATTGGAAACCCAGCCTCGGCTTCTGAGACGGCAGCTTTCTCTGCCTTTACTCCTGCTGTTTAGTCCCACCCCACGCTGCTCTGTCCGTTCTTCACCCGTCCAGGGCGTCTCTGCGGCTGGGAGACCCGATTTCACCGAGCACAGCTGAAAATGGGTTTACACACTGGGAACACTGCTGCCCATCCCAGAGTGAGCTCGGTGTGAATGCTCAGCTCTAATTAACAGAAGGAATGAAACCCGCCCATTTTTCTTCCCTGCTAATTCTCCCATCTTTTCTTTTACAAGATACACATGCCGTTCGCCATTTCTTTACACAGGCTTTATAAGTGGCTCAATTTCTCTTTTTCTAATTGCCTTAATTAAGTCGTTTGTTTCTTGTCTGGGCGCTTAAATATTAACTTCCTGCTTTTGTCCCCATCTGTGTACATTTCTCCTGCTGTAATTACCCCAGGCCCTGGCAGAGAGGACGCGATTTATCTCTGACTCCAGGGCTTCACTGGTGGTTTGTGAGCTGGGGCACGTTTGCTCTTGAAGTGTTTGGCTGCATCACCGCTTGTTTAGTCCCTGTTTGCTTTCTCTTGGCAAAGAAGCCAGTATTTCCACTCTCCTCTGTTTACATTCCTAAGCAAATGCTAAGGAACAAGAGACAGGTTAAATTAACACAACTTTTTGATATATGAAACTGCTGAGAACACGTGCCATATGGGGCATGTCATCTCTGGCTCTCGGAGCACGACTCAGGCTGCCCAACGGCCAGGATGGTTACGCACTGGAACACGTTACCTAGGGAGATTGTAGAATCTCTCTCACTGGAGATTTTTAAAACAAAAGACAGGACTATGCAGCACTGTAAAGACTAACAAGATGGTTTATTAGGTGATGAGCTTTCACAGGCCAGACCCACTTCCTCAGATCATATTGTGGAAGAAAATTGGCACGACCATATATACCAAAGGGATACAATAAAAAAAAGTGAACAGATATATCAAATTCTTCCACAATTTGATCTGAGGAAGTGGGTCTGGCTCATGAAACCTCATCACCTAATAAACCATCTTGTTAGTCTTTAAAGCGCTGCATAGCCCTGTCTTTTGTTTCAGCAAGACCAGACTAACACGGCTGCATCTCTAACACTATTGGAGATTTTTAAGAACAGGTTAGACCAGTGGTCCCCAAAGCGGTGCCTGCAGATTCCATGGTGCCCGCCCGGGCATTTATGTGCACCCACCTACGCCACCACCAGGAGCGTGGCACATGTGCGGCCGCCGTTCCCAGGCGGCCCGGCAGCCAAAAAGGTTGGGGACCACTGGGTTAGATAAACCCCCGGGAAAGATGATCTAGATAATACATCGTCCTGACTCAGTTTGGAAGCTGGACTGTTAAGGGCCCTTCCAGGCCTACGTTTGTATGATTCATTTATTATTGCAAACATTCCTTTGTAATAGATAGATAAGCGTCATTTCCCCTATTTAACAGATGGGCAAAGTGCTGGGCAGGGAAGGTGAGTGGCTAGTACAGTCACTCAGTGAATCCTTGGCCAAAATTGAAATAAAACTCAGAGATCCTGACTCTCAGTACTCGCTTTACTAGACTACAATTCACCCCCATCTGAAAAGAGCCTTTCGTGTTCATTTCACGTTCTAGGCACTGCTAGCTCGACAGACGTGGATTTTTTTTAACTGTCCATAGAGTATCGGAAAGAAATCTACATTGCACTGTTCAAAATATTACCATTTTGCACATGCTAATCATCTCTCAATGAGGCCCATGCAACATCTGAATGACAAGATTGCAGTATGCCACACAACCCAGTGTTCAGAAAGACAGCACTTTATATCTTTAGCCTCCTAGGAGAGGATTCCTTACAATAATTAAAACCAAACAATCAATGAGCCAACGCCCGAAGGCCTTTCTCAGTTTGTACTGAGTTCTTGCTCATGCAAAACTCCCATCGACTCCAGCAAGGCTTTTCCTGTATAAAAACGATGGGATCTGTCCACAGAACATAACTGTATAGTTGGCAGAACATGGAGACCAACCGGGCATTTCTTGCACACACACAACTCTGACTGAGGTCATCTGGAGTTTGGGATCTGCAAGGTATGGTGGGTGAAGACTGGCAGGTGTTCTCGGAAGCAAACTAGAGAAATGGGGTCTGGAGGAAAGGACTGTAAGGTGGGTGTATTGCATCTGATTGAAAGATTGTTCTCCAAGTGTAGTTGTCAATGGATCGCTGTGGTATACTGGGAATGTATCTAGTCTGAACTGGTCTGAATCCAACAAGCTGAGATTCAGTAAACACAGGTGTAAAGTATTTCCCTTGGGAAGGAAAAAAAACCAAGTGTCCAGCTCCAAACTGAGCAGTAACTGGCGAGGTCCCTGTCTGCCTCAAAGGATTTTAGTGAATTGAACCTTTAATGGGGCCACAATGTGGCTCAGTCTTGAAAAAGGCGAATCTCATTCTCGGGTGTTTGAATGGAAGTGTCATACGCATGAAGATAATTGTCCTGCTTTTCTCAGCACGGTGAGGCCCCTGCTGGTGAACCGTGTCTGGGTCTGAGACCCTCTTTATGGAAGATGTGGACAAAGTGAAGAAAGTCCAGAGGAGACACGCAAAAAAGATAAACGGGTTAGAAAACTTGGGAGGAAAGTTACAAAATGGGCATGTTTGGTCCTGAGAAAAGAGGACTGAGGCTGGGACATGTAATCAGTTGCTCTTATGTATTCTGGAGGTCAGACAAGAAGTCATGGGCTTAATCTACAGCAAGGGAGATATAGGTTAGATAATAGGGAAAAAACCTTCTAACTCTACTGGTAGGGAAGCTCAGACACAGGTTGTCAAGCAAGGTTGTGGAGTCACCATCACTGGAGATTTTTAAGAAAAAAGACAAGTGTGTCAGGGACTTGGTCCTTCCTTACAGGGGGCCAGACGGGGTTCCTTCCAGCCCTATGTTTCCATGACCCCGTGATTTCCAAGAGGGCCACAGCGCTTTCAGGACACTAGTCGTCTCCA